ATATATATATAATACCCATCTTTTTTATATCTTAAACGTGCTTACAACAACGACGACGATGATATACTTATTATGACTGGGGAAGGAATAATAATATAGTACGAATATATGTTAAGAGAGTTGTTGAGATCGTGGAAGTAACAGTTATTTATATCTTGTGTAGTTATTATATGCTGGAGGTGAATAACATGATATATTGCTAAAACTAATAAGATATGCGCGACTATATACGTAAAAGAATACAAGATGAAATTAAGCACAGATAATACGAAGTCGAAATCAAAAGTGATTGATATTCCCAAATTTGTACTCGGGCAAAATTAATGGTAGGCCTAATTTTGATTAATTATCTAGTCACATCGGTAGAGATAACATAATATGAACAAAATGATGCACTGAATAGAGACCAAGAACAGGAAAACGAGCAAGAGGAACCCCAGAAGAAAGTGGCAATAAGATGAGATCAACGAGCAGGCGGGTAACCTGGACACGGAGACAGTTTATTTAATAGAGTGGAGATCGTTGATGGAGGGCTACAACCCTGTAGTGGACGGACAATGCTTAGAACGATAAAGAAAAAAGCTAGACTATAGGTGAAGTTGTGGCAGTGATATAAGTATTAGTAATGGCAAAAGTACGGGCAAATTCTGTTACAAATCTCAGATAAAATACGTTCTTTTTATGTGTACAAGGGAAACTAAATTGAAATACAGGAGACTAAAACAGTGCCTTACTTTAATATCTGGTGCCTCTATAGATCTATATACTATAAATAATGGTAGACTATGTAAAAAAAATAACAGTAATGTCGCATAGACCGAGAGCTCGGATTTAGATTCCATTGCTTGATTGTTTTTGATAGTGTTGCTTCTAGGATCACAACCATTCTTTCTTTTTCTTCTTCTTTTTCTTAACACCCCACCTTACCTTGGGGCCTATTGAATTTAACAACAAACAACAACAGCAATAACAAAAACAACAACAACAACAACAATAATAATAATAATAATACAAATTAATAATATTAACACATCTTTTTTTTTACCCGAAAGCCAAATTAAAAATAAAAGTGAAACCTAATAGGCATATTTTCAGGTTTTCAAAACCGGAAATGGGACCTGACCAACTTGGTAACAGCAATAACAATGGCGGACGCGTCAAGTCCGTACAGCTCTCCTTGTCGTCGCCGATCTATTCGGAAAGCTTCACAAAATTCTTATGTTGTGAGGCGAAATGCACAGAGAGAAAAGAAGGATAAGTTAAAAAAGGTATGTATTGAACCATTTTCGTTTTTGATCCCCATGTTGTTTCAGCCACAAGTTTCTACCCTGCCTGGTAAGACAAGTTGACAGTTACTCATTCTTCAATTGTTTTCGTATTTTGGCTTTGTTTTGTTTACAGCGCGTGGTGTCGGCCCATGTGTTTGTTATGATGTTTATTATTACAATTTTGAAGTACCCGAAGTTCAAGTGTGTCTTTATCTTTTTCAAACATTTTAAGCCGAGAGAAAATGTCCCTTCAACTTCAACCACCGTCAAGATCCATTGTTCATTGAAATAGATACCCAGCTTGTTACTTTTGTGGAGACTTGTGGCCTGTACTGTACTGTGGTGGAGGAATTTGTATTCACACTCAACTCAACCGACCAAAAACCATTGAATTTTGAAGTCAATGTAAACGTTGGTTAGATCTACATCTAAAACATGTTGCTGTTATTTACAAATCACAGTCCTTAGAATTTAGAGTGTTTCAAGTCCAGTGTTAGGCTACTTGCACACCCCCCAATTCCACAGCCACCGGATAGCTAGATCTAGATCTAGATCTAGATCTAGATCTAGAGAACGATCAACTTAACGCCATTGGGTATACATTTATAGTAACAGCCATCTTGTTTGACCTGTTTGACCTCGCAAGGGGGATGCTCGCCGCGTCATCTGATCGTGATTCTTAAAAAAAGTGATGATTTTGCGCTGCGCGGTTTGCACTGGCAATTTCCAAGCTCCTTCCCCTGCCTTAGCCTTAGATCTAGATCTATCTAGATATCTGGGTCTAAATCTAGTGCTTAATTTCATGTGCTTACAAATCTTTAAAAGAAACGATCCAGATCGAAATGGTCGATCATTTGCTTTGCGTTGTTGAACTTCGTTTGATCTTGCTTTCGTATCCAAATTGACGTAGGCCTACTCTTCTAAGTCTTCTTCTCAGTTTACGTAGTGTACAGCATCAGAATCAATCTGGGCGGAAGAAGGGTGCAGCACAATAACAGACAACCAAATCAAACTGTTCTGAAAGTTTCATAGAAAAATTATTAATCCAAGTCGGCAGGCTGCCATCGTGCGGTCGTGTTGCCACCAAGACTGACAAAGTGGGAATCCCTCGATAGCGTCAAACAAGATGGCTGTTACTATTATCGGCTAATGGCGTTTAGTTGTCGTTCTCTAGCTATCCGTTTCCCAATTCCCAAGACATTTCTTCTTTCATCATGGGTCTCAATACTCCGCTATTTAGCGGATTTCCGCTACCGCCATGTCCTCCGCTAAACTTCGCTATGCGAAAGCGGGTCAATCAGAAAGAGAATTGCTGGGAGAAGAGTGACTGCCAGGCCTCGGGAATTACCCGGGAATTTGAAAAAAAATCGCTGAGACGCGGGAAAATACATAAAAAAGATCTCGAATATTATTTGAAAACCAAATCCGATGTCTTTAAGTTCATTTTTGCCGGTCGCGATTGTGATGTTAATTTGGCTTTTCCCGGTCTGAGAGTACGTTTCACGCGAACAGGCGGCTATGGCGGCAAGCGGAATTGTATGTGACACGGAGGCTCGACCGGAAAATCAAGATCTCAGAAATTTGTCTATAAAAGTCTGAATGTGCAACATTTGTAACATGGTATGCATGCAGGTTCTGCATCACAAACGTGGTGTCGCCATGAAAATAATGTTCGTCACTGTGCGGTCGCTTGTGGGGGGGGGAGAAGAGGAAAACGTTGTACAGGCGTCTTGTCGGACTCGTCATTGTGACCGGTCAATCAACCTGCGCGCGTTCTGGGCGCTGTGAAGTACAGGACTCCAGAATGGGGGGAAGATTATTAAGTTTTTTAAAAAGATACACTCGGGGATAGGGGGATGGCTGGACGCAACACCAGATGACAAAAAAAAGAAAAGAAATTTGGAAGCAAATTTTAATATTTAGAATTTTGATTACTACTACAGCTCTCTTCAAAGTAAAGTGGGCGTTTGTGCATGCCTTGTGTATAATCGGGATCCGTCATAACTACTTGTACGCCTGTTAATGAACTTAGGGCAGGGACCTCAGTGTTCGCGTTTCATTGGATGGGTGACAGTAAATTATGTCTCTATATTTTAGCTTTTTTTTCCCAGATTCACAGATTTTCAGTGTCACTGTATCTTGCTCTTCCACAGTTCCTACACCCCTCACACTGAATAGGTTTACTTGAGCTATTCAAGTTATTACATGTACTCTACTTTGAGTTTGAGCATTAATTTTTTCTTTCACGTAAATATGAATCATTACACCCAGACTGGTTCATGACAGTCGATATTCTGGTTCTTGGCCTTTTCCCAGGCTCAAAACAAGATTCATTTTTATAGTTTATATAGAGGCGAATATGATGACGGTAAAATATAAATAAGTCGCACAAGACCACAGTGCGCCTCCACTTTCTGTACGTAATCAAGATTGTAAATATTTGGTAAGTGACTCTAACTTGAAATTATCTTCCAAACCCTCAAACTGGTATGAAATAACCTTGCTTTGATAAATTGATGGTTTATATTTCAACATTCTAGGGCCCAACAGTATAATAATAGTGGGTGTCTCGCGAAAATGGGCTTCTGTCGCGATCACGCGGAAAGTTCCTCCTTTTTAAAAATTCTGAGTTGAGACCCATGGTTCATACTCCTGCCAAGTAGATCTAGATCAAACGCGGGTAGCTAGAGAACGACAACTAAAGTGCTTTGATCCGGATCGTTTCTTTTAAAGTTTTGTAAGCACAAGAAATTGAGCACTTACAAGAGATTGGACTCATTAGAACGCTGAGCAGCAAATGGAGTAGATCTCTATGGGGAAGGAGCTTGGAAACTGCCACTGCAAACCGTGCTACACAAAATCATCACTATTTTTCGAATCACGATCAGATGACGTGGCGGGCATCCTCCTTGCAAGGTCAAGCAAGATGGCTGTTACTATAAATATCGGCCAGTGGTGCTTAGTTGTCGTTCTCTAGCTATCCGCTTGTATCTTGATCTAGAATCTAGATCTTACTTACTTATTTACTACCCACTTCTACTGGGTAACATGATAGTAACATAGCTCTCCATTCTCCATTACACTACTTTAAATCATTTGAGCTATAATAGTTTACCTCACCCGCAACTCAGTTGTCTTCAGTCAGCCTCCTTACCTTCGCTGTGTCAGTATTCGTATTACTATATTACAAGAAGCGAGTGCAAGTATGGTCTTTTTACTTGGAAAAGACAAATTAAAACTCCATTGTAAGACTTTGAATGCACACAGTTTGAAGAATTAGGGAGATGAATAAACATATAATCATCAGCTACATTCCAGATGACAATGCTTAATTCAGTTGTGGTAGATTTGGGCAATGAATATGAAGTAATGTTTGACCTTTAATCCTTGATGTCTTTTGTTTCCTGTAATTCTATACTTTTACTTTCTTTTTGTACCAAAAAATTAATAACAGACATTTACGAAAAGATGCTATTTTTGAACTTTTATACCACCTTATGTGAAATATTATTATTGATAATCACAATGCACACAAAGAACGACAGTGACATTTCCCGGAAAGGCTATTTCGAGTAAAACAATAATGGTGCACCACGGTGAGACCACTGATTAAAATTTTTTCGAACTTGGTTTTGCAGGTATCGGAAATTTTGAAGAAGCCAGAACATGAGCGAACTGCTGCTGATGCTGAAATAGTGAAAGGGAACCCGGACATTGTCAAAAAGTCACAAAGCAATGCCAAACGACTGCAAGCGAACAAAGACAGGTTGCTTGAGGTATGTATTATTATGATGTGGGTTGCAGTTTCAATGTTTGAACCATTGTTACAATGCCGGTACTGTTGGTTTCAGTCTATTAATTACAGAATTTATTATTTTTATTGTTTATTTTCTAGTTTTGAAAATAAAATGTGTGATGGTACTGAGTACCAATATGGTGATGATCTTCGCTTGAAATCCACAATTTTTGGGACAATTCAATAGATATTCTTCTTTTTCTTCACTTCTTCTCTGCCCCCCCCCTCTCTCTCTCTCTCTTCATGCCTTTTTCATCTGTAATATGGCAATCTCTCTGTCTTCATTTCTCGGTAATGGCTCCCCACTGCTCTTACTAATACCTTTGAGTCAGCACTTTGCCCGAACCCTTTACAGAAGACTATTCTATTATACATTTTTAGTATTTATGTTTTTAAAAAAGAACTATTGCTTTTTGAAGCCCCTCCCTCAACTGCATTGTAGTATGTGTGATCAAAGTATTCCCCTAACAGGAAATAATAATATAATAATTGCAGAAGCAGAACCGATTTTCTAGTATAATATAATGCAATGCTTGGATGAGGCTTGTGCACTCCTGTCATTAGAACTTAATCACTGGCATGTGACTAATGTTTTAAAAGGGATTTATTAGGAAAAGAACACATTCAAGTGGGCAGCAACCTGGAAGGTTATTTTTTAGTCTAACTTTTGCACTACGTGGCTTATTATTTTGGGATGAATGTGACTTCTGCCTCGAGGATCAAAAAAGAGGGCATTGGGTGTAATTACTGTGGTTTAAGGACATGATGTAATCTGTTTTTCATGTGGACCCAGAAATGTTTTCCTCTTAAGCTTTTTGTTGTTCACTGAAAACATGTTGAATGTCTGAGGAAACAAGACTGATAAGCTGGTTGAAAGGTAGCTCCAAAAACGAACTAATGCACCCAGTGTTGTAAAGCAAACCCTTCAGCCTGGTCTGTTGGAACTCTTTTGGTGTTAATGGTAATGTTATGGTTTTTTTTTAGTCATTTCAATATTACTATATTTGACAGTTTTGTGAAAAATAATTCATTGTGTGACAGGAGACTGTCATACGACTTATTGTCACAGGGATTGTAAGGATACCCTTGAAATTCTTTCTTTAATTTTGTACTTCTAAAACTGTCTTCCAAGATTTTAGTGTTTCCACTCTTTCTATAAGTTTATTTTTATTACCTCCTGATGCCCATTACAGACAGAAGATGAGCCCGAGGTCCTGACCAGCAAGTGCGAACAACTGGCTGAGCTTATAAAGTCTTCAGGGAGAATTGTGGTCTACACTGGTGCAGGCATCAGCACTGTAAGTATTGTTTATTTTTAGGTTGAAAGTCTTTGATCTCGAGATGGATTCTCGCGAAGATGGAGTCTGATGGATATATATTGTCTTTCCACTTTTAGCTTCCGCAATGTCAAAGAAAGACGAATGTTTCATTCATGTTGTAAAATCTCATGGGTCTATTGAATTTAGTGTGAGCTCTAATATGATTGCTGCTTACAGTTTGTTGAACACTGTCATCAGGGTTCACATCTCTTCATAATTGTCTCCGTCGAGCGTTGAAAGCTGATTGGCTATTTATTCGAGCATCATATGTGTTTTTTCTCTTGAGCTAGGAACTCGCCACTATTTTTATCTCACTGCTCAATAGAATATAGTGATACTTTTACTATTTTCTTGTTATCATTTTGCTTGGATTTCTTTATAAGTACATGATAACATTTTTAAAATCATACTTTTATTCGAAGACGTTTCATTTGTGCCTTGTAGATTGACATTTCTGATACTTGTTTCAGGCTGCATCAATACCCGATTACAGAGGTCCAAATGGGGTGTGGACTTTGTTAAAAAAGGGACATGAACTAAGGTGAGTGTTTTTTTTAAACGTAGTTGACTGATTTTTATGTAAAAACAAATTGGTATTTTCATGTATATTTTCATTTTATTCTTCATAAAGACCCATCTTTGTCTCTTGACTTTTGAGATATGATCTATTTATTAATGAACAGGCCACTGATAGGCCTTACTTTTTTGCTATCCTTTTGTTGTTTCTGATTGTCCTCACCCAGCTGTAAATGACAGCTGTTGTCATGTTGATATTGGGTTTTTTTAAACAGAGATATCTGTTTGTTGGCTTATGGATTTGTTCATTTTACCGCTACTTTTTTCATTCTGTCTTCACCAAATTTTGAAGACTGATAGTTGGTGGTTGGCTGATGCTCTGATGTGGTTTGCTCCTTCTTTTCTATCAAACGTCTGTCGTCCATATCTCTCCTCCCTCTTTTAGGTGTTTACTCTCTTGTAATCTATCTAATCTTTGGCCCTTATGTTACCTTATTGTGTTGCTAGTGCCATAAAACCTTTACTAAAAGAAACTTGTTTAGTGGACATCATTGTAAGGGAGTTGAGGCCTCCCAAAACGGTTACTGAATTCTTCTATTCTACTGGTGTTTCAGCTTTGATTAATTATTTGTCTTTTTGTTCTGCAGTCCTCAGGATCTGTCTGATGCAGAGCCTACGTCTACTCACATGTCTATCACCAAGTTGTTCAGAATGGGCAAGGTGAGTTGGTTTCCTTCGTTATGTGTCTGCTGAGAGGCTCTGATATTTACAAATTTTGCCACTTAAGGATGTTATTTCTGGTGTGTGCGTGTGGTTGCCGAGTGTTCTGATGTGGTTTGCTCCTTCTTTCCAATTAAACATCTATTGTCCTTATCTCTCCTCTTTTTCTTTGCCTGTTACTCTCCAGTAACACATCCCAAATTTTCAGCATTTATATGACCTACTTGTGTTGCAAGGCGCTCTTAAGCTCTTCCTAAACTAAAACTTGTGTCTTTATAATACTTGAATAAAGTTACAAGATGATCTTAAATAATGTGAACACACTAGATGATTGAGTGCCATGTCAGCCCATGACGAGTTTCAAGTTGGGTCTTTGTAAACCATGGGTTATTTAAGCATGCACCCTTCACCTTGAGTTGTCAACTTGGATCAGCTCTGGGTTGGATTCTGTTTAGGTGTGCTTTTAATAGGATGGGGGTCTGATTGATTTGAGCCCTTCTGATTGCAAATTCTTTGATTGATATATATATATATATTTTTTTTTTCAATTTTCTTCCATCAGGTGAAGCATGTTGTTTCTCAGAACTGTGATGGTCTTCATATACGAAGTGGTTATCCTAGATATGCCCTCTCTGAGGTCCATGGCAATATGTATGTTGAGGTAAGAAGGCACTTTGGGGCAAGAGGAAAGCACATTTGAACTTGACGGCGATGCTTTTGCCAGTTATTGCTTATTATGATTGTCATATATAGACTTCTTTTCTGCATGCTTTTTTTAAATAAGAAAAAAACATCAGCTCAAGACCAACTTTTGTGTGTAAATTTAAGATATTTGCTGAAAAGTTAGGACGTCAGACTTTTGTTTATATGACATTGTTAGGAAGTGACCACTGTTAAATTGATTATTTTAGAAATAGAAATCTCTTAAATGATAACTTAATCGATCCTGTCAGAATATTTTTTTGCTGTTAGGTATCATTGGATCAGTTATGTCTAATGTTCTTGGATGATATGAGTTCATTAAACAATAACTTTGGAGCCCTGAATTATTTTTTTTTACCCCTGCATCATACTAGAATTGACAGCGTGAATGTTGTTGCCAGTAAAGAACAAATTTTAAAATAGGGATACTTTCCCTCTTGTTTGGCATATTGTGTTGGATACTGAATATATTGAGATTATTGTCTTTGGTGTAATTGTTACACAAAAGGTATCCAGGAGAGTACAAAAATGGTGATGAAAATGTGTGTCAGAATTTTGATGTGCACTGTATATTCATGGTGGTTTTTTTTTCTTTACTTCAAATTGCATTATGTCCGTCATACTCACCATGGCCAAACTGTGTCTCTCTCAGATCTGTTACAACTGTGCCCCCCACAAAGAGTACATCCGGCTGTTTGACGTCACTGAGAGGACTGGGGTTCGCCGACATTCTACTGGCCGCAAGTGCCGGACGTGCAACTTTGCTCTTGTCGATACCATTGTGCATTTTGGTGAGAAGGGCAAGATTAGGTCTCCGTACCGGTGGAAAGAGGCTGTGCGTGCTGCCAAGAATGCCGATCTTATTCTGTGTCTTGGCTCCAGTCTCAAGGTGGGTGCTCTGTTCTTTCAGTTCCCTGCCATTTTAGTCTTGATACAAGATTTGAACTACTTTTATTTTTCGTATCGCTGTTGTTGATTATAATCTCAAAGTGTGTCTTTGGCTTTGATGCAGATCAGTACCACCCTAATGACGCTTGTTAGTTTAGAATTTTTTCTATAGTTGCTTAGGCTTATAAATGACTGAGGCTCCAGCTGTCTTAGAAAGGACGGAATAGTGAAGCTCAGTCCCCAACTTTTTGGGGGAATTCTCAGTTCTTTTGGCACTCACTGATTATATTTTGATTTGGAAATTCTACTATTTCAGTCAGTGAAAGTTAAACTGTTTTAGTTTAAAGTCTTGTGTCTAGGAAGGCTCATGGGATTTCTCTACTTGTGCTGGACTCTGAAACATTATCATTTCATTTACTTTTTGTTTGATCGGTCCCCCTCCCTTTCTTCTTTCATTGGCTATCTGATGAATGTAATTTACTTCAGGTGCTTCGCCGCTATGCCTGTTTATGGTGCATGGACATGAAACCACAGAACAGGCCGCGGTTAGTCATTGTCAATCTCCAGTGGACGCCCAAGGATGATGTTGCAACTCTCAAGATCAATGGTACTTATTTTGCTGTATTTCCCAAGTCAACTTCCCTCTGAACAGTTTTTCAAAGCCGTGCCATAAGAGATTATGTTTTGATTAAAGCTGACAGAATTTTGATATGCTGTTGATGTAGTGTAAATGAAAGGAAAAGATAAAAGTTTGTCCCAACTCTCTGTTCTGTGAAAGCCTTAAGAACATAAAATTGTATATAAGATGAAATTATGTATACTGATAAGCAATACAAGGCTGGTAAAGTGTCAGATACTTTCAAGTGAGTAGAAATGTTTTTGAACTTTCCAATTTCCAATTTACTATCTATTGTGTGTTTCATGACCAATGCCCATACATTTCTCATAATAATACCTCTCCATTGATGAACTTAAATGGTGCCACATAATCCCATATATTATTCAAATGGGCATTGGGTCATTTTGGTTTATAACGCCATTTTAAAAAAAGGTGTTGATGCCACTTTTCCACCTCTGTGACCTTTTGTGTGGATGGATTCATAATGCGTTTGCTTAGGTTTTGTGTCTTATTCCTTTCAGGTCGTTGTGATGAGGTCATGATGAAAGTGATGGATTTACTCGAGTACCCAGTGCTGGAGTATCAGAGGTATTGTGGGTCGTACAGTTCTATGTTTACGGGTTTTGTTGGAACAGTTCGATATTTATTTAAGAAGATATAAAATGATCATTCTTGAGCTCTATTTGAACTGTAATTTAAGTGGGAAAAGGCAAAAAAAAAGAGAAGCAGGGGAACAAAGACTGTTTCTTTTTCTTTCCTTGTTCCTCTCTTCTGTTTTCTTTTCTTTTTTTTTTCTTTCAGTTCTCAGACTGGTCTTTAGTGTCCTTATCTGTTCTCAGTGGATGTGACTATTTCTGTCCCAACTTTTTACAAACTAGGACCTGATAATGCCTTTTTGTGTTTGTGAACTTTGAAGTGTGCGTTCAGTTTAAAAAAAAAATGAAAGTGGGAAATGGAAATGTTTGGACATGATGTTGCTCGTTCTGATTGCAAGTACAATAAAACCTCTACAAGATGACCACCCAGTGTTTAGGAGAAGAGTGGGTGCCTTACACAGTTTCATTATATTGTAGTGGAAAGTGGTTGTTTGTACAAGTGGTTGTCTTAGACAGGTGGTTGTTACAGCATGTATGACTGTTGTAGGTGTAGAATATTTTCCTTATGGTCAGTATCCCCTTTACTTCTATTCTGCAGAGATCAGGATCCCATCTACAAGCTGTATACCCCACTCAGGGCCATTGAGCTCAAAACTACCAGCAAGAAAATCCTCACTCCTCCGCCTCACTTGAACAAGTCCCGAGTGCGTACGCTGAAACCCGTTGTGAAACCTGCACAGATACCTCCAGAACCATCCTCACCCCCTCCACAAAAGGGTAAAAAGAATCAGGGTTTGGAGGGTTGTCCTGGGGACGAGCTCTCAGACACTGGTGATGATGTCTCTGAGAAGGAGGAGACGGTCTCGCAAACTACGCCTGATACGCACATGGACACTGAAGACAAAGACGTCAAAGTTGAATCTCCCTGTGAACACCTCGGTGTTGAAAGTTCAAGCGGCGGGATCCAGTCTGAGAAAAACTTTGGTGGAAGTCGAAAGGCTGAAAGTGTCTGTGAAGATCTCAAATGTGAACCAGGTGACGACATGATGAAAACTGAAGTTACGGATGATGATATCCTCTTGAAGAATAGTCTGGACGGAAAGGACCATGTGCTGCCGGGTGAATGCAAAGTGAAAACAGGGAATTCTGATCCATTCATGTCTGTTGATTCAGCTGATCGTCAGCTCTGCTCAGGGCGCTCGACTGCAGCATCCATTTCTTTTGACACCATGGCTGTGGACAGTGTCCCTGATTTTGGGAAAGGGCAGAGCGAGGTCAAGACTGAGAGTACTGTGTTGAATTGTTGCCAAGGCACAGCCAATGAATGTCAAGGGCAGAAGGTGAAGAATGAGATCATCAATAGCTGTCACACAGAGCTTGAAGGAAATAAGAGAGCTTCCTTGGTTGGAGACCTTCCATCCGACAACTTGTCAGGAAGTGTAGATGTGGACAAGTCAGGAACTACTCTATTTGTGGATGGTATTTCAGGACAGGCAGGGAACGTAAACGAAACGGGTGGTTCTGAAAGCTGCCATGTTGGGGAGGAGTGGACGTCACTCAAGCAGCTGGCCGAGAGTGTCATGGTGGAGAGTTGGGAGTCGGACTCTCCTGCAAACTCGACGCAAGAGGGCTCGCCAACCCCCACAACTGTTATCATTAATCTTGATGAACTTATTGAACGGCAGGGTTTAGACAAAGGCGCGGTTGGTAGCGGGGCGGCTGTGCTGAGCGTGCCGATGGAGACCACAGTGGACCTGACCTTACCCCCCGGACTGGACGTTGTGCTGTGCAATACGCTCGCCTTGCCAGACAAGAGTGGGAATTGTCTTCCAAAAGCAGAGAGGTCCAAGGGCTGTAGTTCTCCTTACCGTCAGCACCTCCATGATGCTAGTGTTATCTCACCCACCGGCCCCCTTGTCAGTGGTCATTTGAACCAGACAACAGTTCCTGCCGGCGACAATCTGTCAGTGTGGGACAAAAAGTTAGGTTGGAGTCAACAAAGTGAGACTGTAGCTTATCGCGACTTGCCTGTCGCCAATGTGAATGGTGTTTGTAAAGTGAACTTGTCAGATTCTAAGATAGATTTATCAGATTCGACCGAAAATGTATCAGGTTCGACAACCTGCATTAATCTCAACCATTTATCCTTCAGTGATGCCTCGTTGGACATTCCCGAAGTGCCAGTCGGTGGAAGTGGTTTGTCTCCCCCCTTTGCTTCATCCCCTGTGCCCCTCCCGCAAACATTAAGTTCGAAACATTCACGCCCGGTGGTGCCAACGAACAATAATCTTATAAAGGAAGATGCTAGGAAGAAACACACCACTAGTCAAATGTCAGGTCTGCCTGCCTTTGGTTTGACTTTTGGGAAAGTAAAAAATGTGAGTCTAGATCATTCGTACACACAGAGTCTGATGAGATCTAAGGGTGTCGGTGGCTCTTATGTGAAATGTGATAATCTCTCCGGTGCAGTCAGAAATAAATCTATGAGAGACGGCGGCAGGGATCTGATGTCATGTCCTCTCGCGAAGAACGAAAGAAAAAGACCCATAGTAAGCAGCACCATAGCCGCGTCACATGTGCCTGCAACAGTCTCTCCCTTTGACAGATCTCATTCCATTGTCTCCCACCCGCCCAACTCGGCCGATTTCAGCCCTCTGCAGCGTCTCCAGTCTGTGATATTCCCTGATGCAGCCACTCCTTCTGTAGCACGAGACACTTATGGTTTACATCATCTTGTTACTAGTCAAGCGTCTCTGTCGAAACTCCCCTCAACGGTCACTGTGTCCGTCCCTGCGTGTGTGCTCAATATGGATGAGATGGAGGTGGTATACTCTCCACCACGTGGGACCTCCGTGCTGCAACATTCTCAAACGGACGTGCCTGTTGGAGATTGTGTAGGGGTACACAGGTCTTTGAACTCAGGCTCACTCGACCATAATATTCAGTCTCGCCATCCCACAACGGACGTACATCCTTCTAAGTGTGTGGGGTCTATCGCCCCAGAACCTCTTAGTCCAAGGTCTGAGAATACCTTAGGGGATTGGAAAAAACTGCCTGAAACTTGCGGTAAGTTGGCAGCTGTTGAAGGAAAACCCTGTGCACCGTCTAGTCTAGCCAACCACAAGCCGTGCCTTCCGAACAACCATTCCGTAGACAGTCAAGAGATTCTCTCGATTTCTACAAAGTGTGTGGAAGTGTTACCGAGTTCAGACTACATCGGAGAGCCTGGAGGTGACATTGCTCCAGCGCTTTTGTGTAAAGAGGTGGAGATGGAGGACAGTGAGAAAAAAGTTGTTGACAAGGAGAAGCTGCAAAAATGTCATCCAGGGGTGAAAAGACAAGGTCATAAAAAGCTCAAGACAGCCCCAGGGAAGTTACGGGAAAATCACCTGCAGACTGCGAAGTCCAAAAAAGCTCACAAAACCTCGGGTGCAGGTTCTGAAGCGGACAAAAGGAAGAAAGTGGTGTCCCATTCTGTGCCAGGCTGGTTTGGCAAAGGGCTGGCCATCAAACGAAAACGGAAATGTTAGAGATGGTGGACAGTATTATAAGATATCGCTGACCTCAGAAACTCATTTGCTCAGTTGTAATCTGTCTATTCTTTTGTTGTGTATATTGTGATTGTAAAAATTGTCAATTTCTACTTCAGAGACTCTTAAATGCTTACAGTTTTCCTGTAATATTGAATGACTATGCCGTAAGCTGACAAAGCGCCTTTTTTTCTTCAAAGCAGTTTCGAGAAAAAGTTTTCTTGTCAGTGTAATCATTTGAAGATAGAGCCATTCCAAAATTTGAATTCTAATTTATTCAAAAACTAGTCACAGTTTAAATTCAATTTTTTTTCCAGATTAGTAGGGTTACTGATCAGGCTTTTTATTTAGCAAATAAAAAATTTGGTGCCAAAATGAAAAAAGGAGTTTTGTCAGCTTATGGCAGTATGTTCATGATTATATTTTGACATTATGTTCAGGAGCTGGGGTGCTGAGCGCTGTCTAGTACTTTCTCCTTTGTTACAGTTGCCAAGTCTGTTTGAAAATCTTCCGTTTGAATTTAAAATCATTATGTTTTTCATGCCAGTGTTCGGTAGAATTTCAGTTTCATATTTTGCTAAGTCTGGTTTTCGCAAGTGGGGTTCTGTGCTTTCAAAATGACTTAGTGTGGAGGTGGCAGGTGCTCTATTGTGGTTTACTCCTTCTTCCTGTCAAACACCATCCTTTTGTCTGCTCCTTCTTCTTAAACTATCTAGTAACACCTCTAGTCTTTGGCACTTTTATGACCTAATTGTGTTGCAAGTGATGTGTAAAGCTAAACTCAAGTGACTTGTACCAAAACTGTAAGAAATGTAGCTGGCACATGATAGTGCTAAGCTTGTGAGCTTCCAACATCTCCACAATGTTGTTTAATAATCTGTGTCATGGTGACTCATTAGAGCAACTGAGCAAAAATTGTAGAAAATGGAAATGTTGATGAGTTTATGTGTAGTCCATTAATTGTGTGTGTATGGAGGGGGAGGGGGGTCTTGCTGAACAGAGCCTTCATAACTGATAGTTATAGAGTTCTGAGATATGTGTGGGCGACCAGGAGAACCAGGAATGTTTGACCCCCAGACAAGTTTTCTGTTTTTTTTGTATTTCTGAATTCTGAAATCAGTGCTGATTTTGCTTTTTAATATTTATTTGAAGACTTATCTTAATTAGATAAAAAAGTTATGCCCGTTTTCGTGTGTTTGGGTGTCAAAAAGTTTCGTTAGAGAAAAAAGATATTGTCGACAAAAGAAGTAGATTTTGGAGCGTCACATTTGATAAAAGCATTGTTAGGCACAAAAATTCATGCTTCAGGTGGAGCTTGTTCCTGTGATAAGAGAGAGCAGACGTTCATAGAGCACTTCTCTGTTCCCTGACTACATTCTTATTTTCTCTCCTCTTACCAAATTATGATACCTGACTTGCTCCTTAAGTCTCAGAAAAGCTTGTTGTCCTGAAAGAATGGTGTCTAACTGCTCTTCGTCTGCTTTAAAGGCTTCAAAAACAGAAAAAGCCTTTGTTGGATCATGGTAAGATTGCCAAGGGATAATAAGCATCTTTCATTTTCTTTACATAATTAGGGAAGTTTGAATACATCTTGTTACTGTTCATAAGCAGCCAATATGGCTTTGTCAAAAAGACATGCAAAAATGACAGAACTGCTATGTAATTAATGATTCTCTGATCTGTCAAATCTTCTTGAACGGACACAAGGTTCTGATTGACAAAGTGTTTAAAAAATTCATCTATATCATGTCTGTGACCTATGAGAGCTGTGCTGTTCTGAAAAATATTGTTGAAGCGGTTTGAGTGAAAGCTTGTAAAGATGATTTTATGCTATTAGCAGAACAAAATGCTGGCCAATCTTTGCTGCAGCCACTTTTTCACAACGAGACACCAAAAATTCTGCAACAGCATGAACTAACAGCAATGCTGCAACCACTTGTTGCACTTTATATCTGAAAAACTGGGCTTTGGAATCCCTTTCAAAACTGCCTGTTTCATAACTCTTCTCTTCTAAAGTTTTGAGTGCACCTTATACAGTAAGGGATGGTGCGAGCAAAAAGTGTGCATTGCAAAATAAAAAGTACACTGAAATTTCTTCACCTAAAAGGCAGATTGTGTAAAAGGTTTTCATCACAGTACTCTATTCTAGAGCAAACATTTCATCTTTCTAAACTGTGTGTCAAGTTCAATGCACAGTTGATGTGTGGCACAAGCATCAGCTGCAGCACCGTCAGTCACTGTGGATGTTATTTTTTACTTACTTAACACCTACGGGACCGGCCCTACACTTGGCTTTCTCTTCCCCAGGACCGGAGCCGCAGCCCACTAGCTGACTACTTGTCATATGTGTTACTAAAATATGAATATCTCAGCTCCTATTATAGCTATAGGCTTGACACTCCATCAAAGTGTCCTAAACATGTTCCTCTATATAATCACACTTTGTTTTTGAAAAAAAAAATTTTTTTGTTCATTTACGTGTAATCAATTATGTAATAGTTAGCACAACATACAAAATACAGGAACAAAATCAGAAAAGACATCAATATAATGACTTCAAACTTCGATTTTCACTCACCAATTGAAGCAGCAGATAATTTTATACTCCCAAGAAGGAAAGCAGGTAAGTCCAGGTAAATCCAGAAAAATACCACTGTATTCCAAGTCCGCGTAAGAAAATAATATACTCCCAAGACGAGATGAAAAGCACTGAAGATTGCCACTCTTATTTCCAAGCACCAATGAATAATGCACACCAACATAATACAACAAAGAATTACAAATTACAACACTGGAGAAAAAGGAATTACAACACTGAAGAAAAAAAATCGCTTTTTGCACGAGGTCCTAGCCTATTCGGCTTGGTAATAGCGTGGAACCTGACACACATAATCCTGGTTGGTGTGATAAAATTCAAAACACGGCTCAATACAGAGAGGCACTTTGCAGGCTTTACACTGATATCTGGTTTCTTTGCGCCGTCCACTGTCCTTTGTGCTGCAACAGACACATCATCGGGTTGGCCGGAGCTTCTTTTCAGTAGTAGGAATACTTTCTGGGAAGTGGGGATTGCTCTTGTGACTGAGCCCCTCGACTGTTGTTGGCGGTGGGAGCTGTGTTTGTTTTTCAGCCACATCAGCAAGGAGACCGCTAATGAGGTGCATCGTTAAGTCTCGTAAGCTGAAGGGAGAGTCCGCTGTCGTTGATTTTCGGTACAGGATGTGTACCTGAATACAGGCAAGGTGGATCATATGTGTGGTCGCACGTTTCCACCATTTGAGGGTTTTACGATTGAAGCTGTAAAATGACAGATACATATCGATTTGATCTACGCTTTTCATAAATCTGTTGTACTGGTGTACAAGTACAATATAAGGCTTGTGGATGGGTTCATCTGTCCTTTTGTCCCTTCTACCAGTGTCCACTACCCTGCCATCATGAATGGTGGACAAGAGCATGACGTCCTTTTTGTCTTGGTACCTGACACTGACAGCAACAATACCTTCTTTTTCACGCTCAACCACATCACCTTTCTGAAGCCTCAGTTCTTTCTTTGTTATATGTTTGGGGAGCCCTCTCCTGTCCTGCCTTGTTTGGGGAGCCCTCTCCTGTCCTGCCTTACAGTACCACAGGCTGTTGTCTGCATTGACAGAAGGTCGGAAAAGAGTTGATGAGTAGAAAAATAAGAGTCCATATACACAGTATGACCAACACCCTGGTATTGTTCAATCACGTCACGTACAATCTGTTCTCCGTCTCCTCGCTCTGGTCCAGTTGTGTTTGCCCCTGTGTAGAACTTCATATTGAGGACCTAACCACAGTACAGCAGAAGTAGAGTTTCATGCCGTAGCGAATAGGCTTGGATGGAAGATATTGACGGAAGTCAACACGCCCACGAAGTGGCATCATACTCCCATCCATGGCCAGTTGTTGTTCGGGACATGATAGATCAGCAAAGCGTTTGTTGAGGTGGTCAAAAAAGGGGCGAATTTTGTTTAGTTTGTCATGGTCTGGGTGACCTCTTGGGGGTTGTCTTTCATTATCGACAAGGTGGAAGAAAGCCAAAAGGGAAAGGAAGCGGTTGCGGGCCATTGTCTGTTGATGAAAAAAAAATTAACGATGTGATCAGTCGCAGTTATAGAAAATTTTATACTTATCAATTTTTTTTATTTCTGAAAAACAAAACACGAGTTATAATAAAAAGCAATAATACATAGAGTCTTACATTTGTTCTAGTGCTGGGCGGCTAGGTTCCCAATTATTAAAAGCTAGGGATAGTAGGACTCGACTCCGAACCCAATTACTTTACTTTCTAATGATGTGATTTTTCCGGTGGTTACCTGGTTCGCTCCTAACATATTCAGGATTTAGGATAACCTTGATTTCGGAACACTACAAAGCATCTACTTTTATTTCTTAAAAATAAATTCTTTTTAAAAAAGAAGAAGATTTTAATTATAAAAGTAACTGGCAACCGTTGGTTCACGTAAAAGGGAGAGGCACTTTATTTCCGCAGTATTAATCGTGGGAATCGGTTCCAAAATCGACTCTTCGCCCAGCTCTAATTTGTACGTTTATAAGGCGTGTAGCCTATTTCATGTAATCACTTTATATACAGTATTACGAATGTCATTGTGAGCATTCTGGCTGTTACATGAAGTGCTCATAAAACAAATTATGATGGATCCTATTACAGCATTTTACAAGTAATTTACTGAATGAGTAGAACCAGATCTAATCCTTTATTATGATAGCTAGATCTAGAAAGCAAGAAAAGATTTATAAATATGTAAATCAATGTAAAAATTAGATCTAGATCTAGGGGTACAAACTAGATACGGGTAGATTTAGGCCTACTTACCTTTGAGAAAAATGGGGTCTCGATGATTGGGTTTGTCGACCAATAGCATTTCACATCTGACTTGTCTACCAGACCCATCACAACCATCAGGGCAACCCTGGTTTTTATGTCTGAGGCTGTAGCTGGTTTCCAGTCTTTGAGGTGATAATAGCCTGGTTTCACAGCACGTACTTGTTCAGTGTATCTGTTAGTTTCATTTGCCCAATCCAAGAACATGGCATCATCGATGAAGGCATTGAAAAAAACTAAAACATCTGTTGGACTACTTGGTGTAAATGTCTCCAATACTTCACTGTGTTTTGTGAATGCAGGCATATTGTCAAGATTTCAAGTCATTTCTCTCCAGCCATCAACATCACTAACGGTATTGGCACTGTTGTTGACATTGGCTCTACCGGTGCCATGCCCACCTCTTGCACGCCTAGCTCTACCTCTACTACAAGATCCTCTCTCAGTTCTCTGTACACCTCTGGCACCTCTAGTTGTATGTCTACCTCAGCCTCAATCAGCGATAATAGGTAGGCTACCTCATCAACAACTACACTTTCTTAGAACTTGATCAGAAGGCTCCTGGTCTGATGAACTAGCGCTACTATCTGATTCTACTGCTTCTTCATCGCTGTCTGCGTCCATACAGATTTCTTCAAGCACCTCCCTTTCAGATAGATATCTTTTAGAAGTCATTGTGTCTATTCTATCAACGCTTCACATTCGAATTTGCCACAACAAGAAAGCTAAATATCTAAACGGAAGTGACTAACGGGTTTTCAAAAATGTGGATATGTTTGGAGAAACATGGGCTGGCTTTTGTTTATGGCATTTCGCTAGCGAGTATTCTCGTCCGTGGTCCTGGGGAAGCAGTCGCGCTTCGCGAGTATACTCGTCCGCGGTCCCGCAGGTGTTAAAGGAGACAAAAATGTTTTCCGGACCCTGGTTCGTGAATCTTCCTTAAACTTTAAACATTGTCTGCCTCTGTCAGGGCAGAATCTATGTGGGTGATGTAATCACACACGCACACACAGAGACACACACCCCCCGCGCAGGCACTGGTAGCCTAGTGGTTAGGCTACCGAATAGTGTAAACGGAACCATAATCGTGTGATTGTGGGTTCGGGGATTCGAGTATCAGCTCGGGCCATCGCTGTGTCCTTTGTTTCCCATTTGGCTTTGGTCCTTTGGAGATGGACGTTAAACTCGGAGGTCCTGCGTCTTAATAACCTTATTGTATTGAAAGAGGCGTTAAAACTACAATTTCCACACACACGCGCGCACCCCCCCATATATGGCAGATGGCGCATGTCCAGAACCAGGCATTGGTTACGATTGATTTTCTGTCTGGTGAACTTCATTCACGTGGTAGCCTTCTACTGTAGTCGCATCCGATTAAATGCAGATGTCTCCTTTTTGTGACAGCATATATTCCATCAACACCCCAAGTTCATAGGCCATTTGGGGCCCATCTGGCTGGACAGGGCGTGTCCGATTTCTTCCCGCACGAAACGTGAGCACAAATACTAATGAGGTGTGACGGTGTCCACAATGTTTCACTGGCTAAGCGAGCGCTTGCGATATATGACTGGTTTTCCTGGTTGCCCACACATATAATATTTTGTTACTACGGCTTATTGGAACAACCTTGTTGGAACTTAAAATTGGGTTTAGACTTTGGTTCTGCAAAACTTGGGGGGGGGGGGGGTGTCATTATCAATAGTCCCTTTATGGTGTTGTTCCCAAAAAACTTTTCAAGGTACGTTTAGCTTCTTTTTGAATTGTGAATACTGCTGTTACTTTTAACTGTCTATGACAACAACCCAGTGCTTCTCCTCGTTTCGATTGACCCATGACCCTATCCTGTTGTAGCTGCACTAGCACACCATTTCCTTTGACTGACAGAACGTAATTTTGGGAAAGTGGGGAGAGAAGGGGGGGAGGGGGGGGCGGGAGATTGTGAAACTGATACCGATGGCATCATCACATAAAAAAAATAAATTGGGGGTGAAAAACCCAAACAGGTTTTTGCGTTGCCTCGAGCAGGATTGGCTGGGCTGTTTGTATTCTCTATGGGTATAGATTGCTTTGATATTACAATTTTTTTCCCTGATAGAAATCTCAGATACTTGGTTCATTTTAATTATAATACTCACAAACTGATCTCTCAAGAAGGCAGCAATAATTTATGCTAAAATTGTATTTGTGTTGTTTTGTGCCGAAAAGAGCAAGTCCTACTCTTAAATTGTTTTTCAGAACTGGGTTAGGAACGTGACCTCACTTTGTTGATTTTGATCTCCATTACATAAATGAAAGTACAGTGTATTTGATATGTCACAGTTGAAAATATATTTATTATCTTGTCTTGCAAGTACTTACAATGAGCAAATAGATACCAAAAGAAAGTTCCTTTCTTGTGCAATAGTTTGTTGTATTAATTTAAAATTGTAAAAAGACTCATCTTTTGATAAGATGGATGCTTGAATGTTTGTGTGTGCGCCTAGAGAAAGTTGCCAAAAGTCGTCCCAGACTGTTTCGAGCTGATAATGACAAAAACTTTTTTGACCAAAATGTGTTTCCATAAAAAATGATAGATCCACCACTTTTTTTACAATGTGCTCAAAGGGTTTTCATTGATCTGACTTCTAAATATTTTACTTTGCATCATTTTGAGGGTAGGGTATAATAAAAACTAATAATGAAAACTGCTTATAAAAGGTATTAAAATCTTTTCTTGAAACACATTTTCCTTCCCAGCTATGTTTTACCACTGAATTCAATTCATGATTTTGATGTCAACTGAATGCCAAATTGGAAATGAATTTTCGATGAATAAATACATTTAAAAAATAGTTTTTTTCAAGTTTGTATGTATTCTCACGTTTATTAAACTTAAGCCTAAGCTCATTTTTTCAAAATTATATTTTTATACCCTACCTCGCAAAATGTGCAACATCTCAAAAACTACTTGAGACATCA